GCTGTAAGATTAGAGATGGAGCAGAATGCCTTCATTAGTATAGTCTTCTGTGTAATCATGGCCAATATTTGAGCTGTGTTCCTGAGCACACGAGAGGATTCTGAAATGAGATTTGGGGTTTTGACCTTTATTTACCGAAGATAGTTTCTCTAATCACAGTTGCTCCTTTCTAGCTACAAAATAATATCAGTCGGTGATAGTGTTAGTGGTTGAATTTTGTCTATAGACCTTGTGATCCTCTCAGGAAAGCTCTACTATATGTTATTCCAAGAAGTGAAAGTGATGTGAATGTAGTTTAGAAATGAGAAGTCAATTATTTTTTTCACTGGTTGTGAAATTGGTGTAGAACGGTCGACAAGGTCAGAAAGAGTTTGGTTCATCTTGGCTATGAAGAACTGTTCAACATTTTGTTTTTCTACTGAGGATATAGTCGACTCGAGCCCTATCCCCTCCTTTGAGTGCTGTAAATGGAGTCTTCACTTTCCCAAGGGATCGTACGCGTTGGCAGATACAATAACATAGTAAATGCTTGAATGGGACCAAAGTAGACGCTGATTGCTTCATTATTGTACAGCCAGTTCACTGTGCAATCAATTCACTACATAATGATAAGATTTAGCAAATAATCTGTCCATTGTCACTTTAAACAAAGAATGTAAAATCTGTTTATTAGAAGTTGGTTTATGTTACCTATGAACAAAGCCAAGCTAACTGTTTTTCAAAGCGTTCATGCTAAGCTAACTAGCTGTTAGCTTCGTATTTACAAAACAGACATGAGAGGGGACAGTACATCCACAATTCTCTGCTGGTACAGTTGGTTGCCCCTGTCATGTATCAAATAATCCTCCTACCATAAAATTAAACACATGTTGCATTTCTGAATACAAAATGAAAGGAATTGTGTGTTATTGGTGCTTACTGTTAGGTACAATGAATGCAGCCTGGTGCAGCTTGTATCGAGTACAAAGGGGATTGTTGTAGGGAACATCAACAGGGGCCAAATCAGTGTGAAGAAACCTAGCCTACTTTTTAACTGGCTTTTGTGCTGTGCCAACTAGTCTTTTTGTCTGCTAAAAGAGTCTGTAATACATGAAAGAGACCAGGGAGTCAGTCCAAAACCAGCTTGAAAAATACGCTCTTAAGAAGAGTTTTTACAGGTGTCACCTTGGTACTAAAGGAAATGTTAGTTTGCTACCTTTTTAGTTTTTACGCTGGGGCCGATGTAACTTAATTATTCATTTGGATTTGAGGGGTCAATGGACCCCTGGGAGCCGGCTGTCATCTTGGCACCAAGTAATAGGCATCACCTGAAAATGGGTGTGACCTTGGCTAATTAAATGTGGTATTTCTGAAGTAATCTGTGTAAAACATGTGACAATTCTCATTATTTCTCCTGACAAAGGAATTGGTAAAGGAAAATTAAAAACACGAGTAGTTCGTATAGGAGAAGGCTTTTCTCATTTGCCAAAGAAAGGTATTGGACCTGAGCGACATTCTAGTATACCAATTGCCTATTGTATGCACATAATGTATTCCACTATTAAGTTGTGATCAGATAAATAATAACCACATTTAGATCTCATAAATCATCTTGTTGTATGACGAAGACGACAGTTTTATATCAAGTTAGAGAAGCAACTTAATATTTAATGGAAAACAGAATGTAACCTCCGGGCAGAAACTGTTCACACTTCATGGTATTCTGCTATATTACAGAAATAAGACGGAGGGATCCGATTATTCTCTCATTGCCATAGAAACTGCATGGGAAAAATGTAGCTTTCTCTGTTTCATTGTGGTTTGATTTGCAGTGTAGTAGTGAGGCAGGCAGAAGCACTACGAGATGATGGGGGAGGGTTACTAGGCGCTGAATCTGGGATGCTTTGATGTTGTGCAGGGAGGAGGGAAACAGCAGCGGTGGGATCGCATTCCCAGTAATCTCAATACATGGAACAGGATTCTGGTACAGTGACGTAAAACTCGATCTATAATTATTTATTTAGCTTGTTCTCACATTGAATTCATTAGTTGTTTTTTGATTGCCTTTTGTCTGCAGTGTGGGTGTTAGACTCTTGTTTCTGTGATGTATAACCTTTACCTTCAATCAATTGGGACTCTCCATTTGAATGACACAAGCTATCTCAGTGGTTAATTTTCTAGCAGCTAATCAATGAATTGAGGAATTGAATGTTAAAATGAAAAATAGAGTTCCCGATACAGTATTTTTTTATTTTGGAAGAAAAATATTCTTGGTGATGTTTTCATCATTGTTTTCTTTGGCAATATAAATTAAACTATTGTAATTGAAGCCTGTATGTTACTGTGGGAACACATTCCTGGAACTTTTTCTATGTAAGTCATAAATCTCTGGAGAAACATTTGTTGTGAAAGCTTTTTTCTTAGCATTTTGTACCATTTTGTTCAATGGATATATGGGGAGAAGAAAACAACAACAGATTAGGTTGTTGATCTAATGCCGCAATCGTTATGGATTAGTTAAATTAAACAACAAAAAACGTAGTCGAGAAACTCAATATGTTCGGTTGGGTGTCCTTGTTTTAATAGTTTAAATATTAATTAAAGCCCTCGGAGATTGTAGACTTTTGGCAAGTACATATCTCGCAATGTTAAGGACAGTGAAGGTTCATTTGTGTATCCAGCCTGTGGTGCTGATCCACTCCTGTTTTCTACTGATGATTTATTTTTTGGTCCATGTAACAAACTGCCACCAAGTTCCATGAACATCGGGGAACTTTAAACATAAGTCCTTGATGGATGTTATCATTTGGTCTAGGAAAGGGAAACGTATCTGGCCAATGCTGACTTTCAGTATGAAACGGTTAACCAGCATCAGCTCCCGTTTTGTTAATGGTTAACGTTTTGTTGACCCACCCTCCTTGACTTCCTCCCTCTGTGGACAAGTATTGTCAGTTTATTCTTAGCATGACCAACTGTAGCTTATTCCTCTTTACTACACAGCTCTATTGTTGTCCAAAAACACACCCACCTTCATGACTGTGGGTACGGTAGTTTATTATGAGCCTTAAACAGGGTACAAACTTACTTAAAGCTTTTGGACTTTCCATGGGATTTCTTGACGATAACAAAACCAGAGACTAAAGGGTACATTTGCTATTGTTTCTATGTTTCTCTTTCTAAGTGACTACAGGGACATCAGTTCTGTAATTCAGTTCAGTATTGAGAAATAACTCTTCTTGACACACCAAGCAGCCTGTGACGTAATTGGGCAATCCTGCACGGTCAAGTGACACCACATAATAAGTGTCATTATGGAAAAAAACCCCGCTTTTCTTTACCTTTGGCTTGATCCGCTTTGTTTCTGTCATGTGACAACGGTGGACCGCCCACCATGTTATTCATAAATGAATAATGTGCTTTAATATAAAATGCAAGACCATTCACAGAATCCTCACTGTAATACAAGTCTGTGTGGGTGCATGTGTATGTCTGCACATGTGATTATGTGCTCTGTTCTTTCATGCATATTTTGTTTTGGTGTGTGTGCAAATGTACTCGTTTGTCCGGCTATGAATTTGCAGTTATGCATTTAGCTGGAATGTGTATGGACGTGTGTATGTTCTCTCAGCGAATGTAAGAGTTTGGCTGTAATTGTTCAGTGTCAGTGTGTGCATGCTTGTGTGTGTGTGTGTGTGTGTGTGTGTGTGTGTGTGTGTGTGTGTGTGTGTGTGTGTGTGTGTGTGTGTGTGTGTGTGTGTGTGAGATGTCCCCCTCGGGGTGTGAATTAGCTTGCGGTGTAGAGGCCATGCTTCACGCTGAGACAGAACTCTGATCAACTGTGTCCAAAAGATGGATAATGTAAAAGTACTCCTCTTTTCTCTCTCATTATTTACATTGACTCCAGCTGCTCTCCTCTTCCCATTTTCACACAACCCACCCCTTCCTCTGTCTCCCTCCTTTTTCTCCCTTCTCCTCTTTTGGCCTTCATCTTTTCATTTCTCCCATTATTTATTTTTTTGTTGTTGTCCACCTTTCCATTATTCTCACTTCTCTCCCTCATCCATCTCTCATCCCCTCACACCCCTGTCTAGTCTCATCGGAGGTTATCCTTCTTTTCCTCTTCCTCTGTAGACACTAAATAAACTCCCATCCAAACTACATACTTTAAGGTCTCTCTCACAAGTCAAGTAATAAGTATACCTGTGTCTGTAATGATAATTTGACTCCTTTCCAACTTTCTTACATGCATTTAATCTAAATTTGTATGAAACAATTACTCAAACATAGGAACAGCAGCTCTTGTCAATTGTACTGCGTGAGTTTGTTGGGTTCCTTTTTTGAGAAAGAAAATAAATCAAAATTGATCTACCAAATAAATAATGTGAGGCCGCTTTTGACGTTAGCTTGGCTGTTTGAAAATGGCAGGTGCAGGTTGTGAATTTGGCTCGGGTGAAGATTGATTCTGACTAACTGAGTTGGTACAATGCCAAGTAACAGGTAGACTCATTCAACTTTTGTAAATGCAAAATTGTGTGAGTTGAGTAGAGATAGGCCTTACCCTAAAGAGGAAATGCGGCCAAAGAAGAGGAATGACTTGCAACAACAGGACGCAAATAAAATATTGTGTATTTCAGGGTTGTCACCTTAACTGCTTGGCCACCAGGGAAGCATATCATTCCAAACGGTTAGATTTTTGTGAGAATTAGCTGCTTTTAAAAAAATTATTTTTATGGTTTTGGACTTTGGCACATCAGAGATATTTTTAGATGCAGCCCTGAACTTTTCAATTTTCCTCTTATGTCTCATCTCCTCTCCAATGATCTGCGTTTATCACATTCACCCTCCAACACAGAGGCACAAACACACACAGTTATAGCCTCTGTCTATCTATCTCTCTCTGTCTTATTCCTCCACTCATCCTCCCTCCGTCTCTCTCTATCTCTCTTTTTTTTTCTTTTTTCTTTCCTTTTCCCCCTCTCTATCTTGTTGTTGCACTAGAAAGCCAGAGAACGAGAGAGAGAGAGAGAGAGAAAAAGAGAGAGAGAGAGAGAGAGAGAGAGAGAGAGAGAGAGAGAGAGGTGAAGTGCGCGTGCTCTGTCGCCGCTGTTTCAGAGCAGAGGAGCTTTTACTCAGCTGCTGATGAGGGACGGAGGGAAGGATGCACAGATAGAGGGATGAATGAATGAATGATCCCGACCCGGGCTTCTTCCAGAGAACCGAAGACTCAAACCACGTGTGTATTACTATTCTTATTCATTGTGCGTGCATTCTGATTGCTTTGATGTCATATGTGAGCCGTTTGTGTGACACGAGACAGTCGGTAAGTGTCCACGCACGCCGTATGTGAAGCCCGTTAATTGAAGAGATCGGTGCATGCGTGCGTAAATAAGGAGCGCAAAACCTGTCGGTACGCGATCAAGTGAAGGGAGAGACGAGCGAAAAGGAAAGTGATCTTATAGAAAAGGGAGGGAGAGGAATGTACCGGACAGCAATGCATGACCGCGGGTCTCTCTGAGCTGAGCCCCCTGTCCCTGTCCGCGAGACGCATCCAGTACCGCTCCAATTCACCCCACAGCGCAGTTTCCTCTCCGCGCTGGAAGAAGGGTGAGTGACAGTGAAGCTGCAGGGCTTTCACCCCTTGGACCGGGGCTGCGGTGCCGGTGGCCGGGGAGGGAGCATGATGAGATTAAGGTCAGGGTATAGTGGACGCATCCGGGTCTAAAGGGACTGAGCACTCGGTCAGCCAGGGTGCAAGAGGAGATAGGCGAGGGCAGCACATAGATGCACTGAGAATGGGATGTTGATGAAGGCATTTGAACGGTGAGAGAGCATGATGATGATGACAATTGAAATGCAGTCGATTGGATTATTTGATTCAAATAAGAGCTCTATAGAGGTAGGAATGATTAAATTGTAATGCTTTTTTAAGACATTATTCGTGCTGTGCCGATCATGGCACTGCTGCTGATGATTGGTTGATCTCTATTTTAATGGTTTTATTGTGACATTCTCTTCGTTTTTGCATTCGTCTTAAATAGTTGTACTTTTGTCTCATAATCAGCTTTTCATCTGAAATCACTATTGTTCAAAAAGAAATATAAACAAGTATGGTTTTATTGATGAATTGATATTGGTGTTGATGATAATGATGAGGAAGAGGAGCAGGATGATGAAGGTACTTGTAAAGATGATACATTAGCTGAACGCAAGCAAAAGTGCCTTAATTTCTCTCTTTATTTATTTTTGTCAGACAATTACATTGAAGCATCTGTTCATTTTTTACAATTACCATGAATCACATTTAAGGAATGTGCATTTTTCTAATGGCCAGCAGGGGGCGACTTCCCTGCTTACTAGAATAAGTCAGATTCTATAGAAGTCTATGAGAAAATGACCTTACATCTTGCTTGATTTATCAAACATTTAGCTGTGTCACTTGTTAGTTTCAAATCTTCATCAATACAACATGTCATTTATGATCCCTTTTTAGGGAATAAAAGATGAAACAGGTTATGCTTCAGGGTGGGGCTACTGACAAGATCTCTGGTTTGTTGTCCTAGTTTTCAGCTTTAAACCTTTCACAGTGTGCTTACACTAATATTTTGATCGTCTCTTACGTCACTCCTGGTTTGAAAAAAACGAAATGGCAACAGCAGAAATGCCAAATCTGTAGTCCACTTAGCAATGGATTACATCATAGTGATCACATCCACTTCTTATAAAGGCAGCATGATGATGTTGAGGAACATTAAGATGAAAATGCTTCCAGTAAAAATTCCTTATGGTAGCATATGGCAGTGGTTTTAATGATGATGTATTTATAAGATGATGATGATTGTGAATGTAGCCTTTTGATAACAGCAACATTGTGAATGATGTGGTTGACGATGATGATATTGAACATGGTGTGGTGGTAGTTTTGTAATAATAGCTGAGCTTATGACAGCATGATGATTTTTTTCCACAAAGATAAATAATTAACATGAAGATATGTCGCCTTCTTAATAATTCAAACACCCAAGCTGTCTAAAGAAATGTAGGCTATAGATTAATTTGCATATCTCAAACAATTTTTAAGCTTCCATCAGCAACAATGAGTCTTTGTGTTAAGAAGCTTTGAAGCCATCTAGCTGGCTGCTACGATCCACTGGGCATTTGCTGCATGTCTGCAGGGCGGTGATAGAACATTTCTGACAGTTCAGACGTGCAAAGCATTTTCCAGCTTCTAGTATAGGGTCAAAAATATTGTTGGATTTTTCCTGGCTGCAAGATTGCATGATTTAATGATTAAAGGTTCAAACTTTCTCAAGTTAAGCCTTGGTTTATAGGCCATGACACAGAAATAACTTCTTGAAACATTGATGTAATGGAACTTCACTCAAAGTTCTCATTTATAAAAAGACAACCCCTTAATTTTGCCCTAAAACAGCAGCAGTATGTTTTTGGGCTTTCCTTCCATCCGTGTTGATTTAGTTCCATCCGTCCAAATATTCATCCTGGGTGAGCTGTGTCTGTAAATGACCGAAAGTCCAGAGAAAACATGTGTTTTGAAGTAAAACCTCATGCATTTATTCATTATTTTTTCCAAGGCCTAATCCTAGAAATGTCAATATTGTCTGATTTGGTCAGGCTGTCACATTTATAGTTGGCAATGGGTTACGTGTGTGTTTTGTGTATGCACATAATGCATGCTGCCCCCGTACCTGCTTAGTCTCTGTTTGTTTGTTTTGGGGCCAAAAATATCCCACACTCTCTTAATGCCCGGTGCTTCATTACCTGTGACTGTGTCCTCAATGGACCCATTCAACAAACTCACTTCCCTGCTTGAGAAGGTGGTAACCCTGTATTGGCCTCTATTCTTGTCCACGTTAATCTGGTTATGTGCATCGCTGGCACTGGACTCAGGGTTACTTGTGTGGTTACCAATTCCGGCCTTCCGGGATCCCGCTACTGTCAGCTTACCTTGTCTGGCTAATAGCTGGGAGGGACAGGAAAGTCCCCGCGGTCATAATCCTCTTCTCTCCTGAGTGTGTGTTTGTGTGTTACATGCTGTTAGCACTGTCAGTGGGGGGTTGTTAGCTCTGGAGATACATTGTGTCTGCTTGGTGTCAGGAGGAAGATGATAAAGACTGGGAAGTAGAAAAAGAAGAAATTAAGAAGAGGAAGAGGAATATAGCCTGGAGGCTTCTGTAAAAGCTGCCAGAGTAAAAAAGGACATTTGACAATAATGTTTAGGTTTTTAATTAACTGAGACATAGCGTTCAAATATTTAATCACTCATCAATCTTTTTTTATGGTCCTCTTATGGCCTCCGGACCTACAACAGTGTTTAATGGCTTTGATTCTAAGTCATAATCTCTACATCTAGACATCAGGTTTTGTTCAGAAAGGCCTTTTAGAAAAAATAAATAGTTGTTTATAAAAATGACCTAGCCATCAGTGCTATTATTTATACTGCAGCACGTTGGGGCTCCATATGCTTGATTTCTGCACTGCTATAAAGCCTGTTTCCCCATGCTTTCCCCCACAGCGATCATTAAACTTTCAGTTCCCATCTCAAGCTTTCTGACTGACTCACCAACTACATTTTCATTTTGTTTTAACACGTGGAGCCTGCATGTTGATTTAAAAAAGCCCACTCCATCTCTTTTATGTGTTTAGACTTCTGCTTTACTCAGGATGATTTCAAGAGGCATTTTAATCTCACTGCCACCAAAGACTGAATCGAGCCCCCCCCCCCCATTTGGGCGTTACCAAGCATGCCATCCTCCTACAGGTTGATTAATTAAGTTCCTATAACACTAGTATGTGATGACAGTGATAGATCGTGGTGTTCATCTCTTCCTGGCTGTGGCACAGACTTGTTGGCCTATCCTGTTGTATTGAATGCACTGCTTGACATTCATGGAAAGAGCCCAAATGCTGCCGGCTCTGCCCCAGCGCTACATCACATATTGGCAGCTCGACACTTGCTGGACTAGAGGCTACTGTGGATGGAGGCCAAGGGTGCTGCTTATCAAACTAATCTGTCAAACCTAAAACTTTACAGTCGGTGCAGAGAGTTGTTAAATGTAGCTGTAATATCTGAAAATACAACTCGACCTAAAGCCTGACAGTGCAGGAAACACTCAGAGAAAATGTAAAAATGTATTTAACACGAGGTGACCGAGGGACTGAACACACTATAATCACTTGCACGGAGCTGGAACCATGATTTATTGTGAAAGTAACACCTTGTGATTTAAAAATAAAACAATAAAGAGGAGTAGCGCTAACCTAATATAAACCTGATTCATCTCATGGGGCCTCCATCACTCATTCCGCTCAGTTTCCAATCACTCCTAAAGCGTCGCTTCAGGGATTAATTTGACACGTTTATTGCCCAATGGTGTGATTTCAAAGCTGGGCGGCAGCTTCTGATGCACCAACAGGGGTCTCACTTGCACGGCAGACTGATTTGGCCATCAGGAGTGAAGCTGCAAATGAACTCAGTCGTTAAATGACTTTGCCACGGAATGCAGCATGCACCATTTCTGTTTAGTCTTCATAGTAACCTAACCAAAGAGGACAGTCAGATCTGTGGTGTTATTTTCCTCTCAGTATTGATTTGTGTTATATCACCTAGAAGTGAAGGTAATCTATTGTATGCATTTGCTCCATTTATCACCCACAAGCCTCTTGTAAATTAGATTTAATCACATTCAAAAGAGTGTAAAGTTATTTATTTCGATGAGTATGAAGCCCATCATATAGCCATAAAGCTCCAGATTGTATATTTATGAATGAGAGGGCTGTGCATGCTGAGAGATGAGTGATAAAGTAAAAATCCACTTTAATATCTTTATTACAGCGCCATTATACCCTGTTTGTTTTGTTATGTCATGCAATATTTTATCTCACAAAACACACAGGTGGAAAATGTATAACATTATTTCCAGATGACCCAATTTTGATTTATGTCCATCAATCAAAGGAGGAACAGTCCATCACATGAGATACCTCAATAGATTAAGGAGTATTGGTCATAGCACACAAAGAAAGGCTGCAGCAGCAAAATCCCTCAATGTATTGAATTGAGCAATGTTGAGTTAAATATCTTTTAAATTCAAATTTGAATCAGTAAGAATTCAAAAGTTGCACGGTTTCAAGAAGTCTCAATCTTAATGTCATTTTTTCGTGATTGTTTTTCAATTAAATCTGGATTCCTATGTGAATGATCCTATTAATGGACAT